TAAAGAAACACATCTTGGCACGTACCCGCAAAACTGCAGACCATCAGGAAGAAGAGGAAAATCATAAAAAGTTCCTGGAACTGGCTCCACTGGAACTCTGAAGAGGAACACTAGGGGAAGCTCAGGCCTTGGAGCCGAAGCTTCCCTCTCACTTGTTTCTAGAACAAGAGGCAAGATTGGTCCCCACGCCAGGAGGGAGCAAGAGGGGAGAAGCTGCTGCCTGCCTCCTCAGCAGTCCAGGCCTGGTGCAGAGAAGGACCCGGGACCCCTGGCACCAGGGACAGCAAGCCCATCAGGCAACTCCTGCTACTGGTCCCCACCCCACAAACTCTTGAGGAAAACCCTCAGCACCATGGTAGCTCTTGAGGGTATCTGCAGTGAACACAGAATGCAGAACTTCTCCGTGTTCCTGAAATAACCCCCGACTCCCAAAGAAACAGGTCTTTGGCAAAGCACTGGATTCCTGCCCTTGCTACTGCCCATTGCAGCTTTTCTTTATAATGTTCAGTTTTTCCCACATTTTGTCAATCTGCGGGAAAAAAATGTGGAAATGGGGCTTTCACATGCTGGAGACAGACAGCAAACTCCTGTTGGAAAAAATGAAATCTCCAACCTGCAGCCCCGGCCTGAGTCAGACTTTCCATGGAATCAAGACCTCTGCCTGCAACTTGAGAGGCAGAATTAAGTCGTAATATTCCAGCAAATAGCTACAGCCATTCAGAAAGCTACTCCCGGCTCCGTGGCTGCATGGCAAACCAACGCAGGGGCAAATTTCATTACCTGTCAGGAACTAAATAAAAGCTTTGCTTCATCTAATACTCCCAGTGTGCGGGACAGCTATGAAAACAAGGCCGACGCTCAATCAATTTGCTGTTTACAGAGGCCCGAAGACGCATGGAGACACACACACTGGCTACTTAAAACTTCGGGAAGTCTAAATTTTTTTTTAAAAGATTTATTTTATGTATTTGAAAGGCAGAATTACAGGGGGTAGGGTGGGGAGAAGAGAGAAAGAGAGATCTTCTGTCTGCTGGTTCACTTCCCAAATGACCACAACAGCCAGGGCTGGGCCAGGCTGAAGCCAGGAGCCAGGAACTTCATCAGCTTCCCACATGGGTGCAGGGGCCCAAGGACATGAACCATCTTCCACTATTTTCCCAAGGCACATTAGCAGAGAGCTGGATTGGAAGTGGAGCAGCCAGGACTCAAACGGGCACCCATATAAGATGCCAGCACTGCAGGCAGCGGCTTAACCCACCGTGCCACGGTACTAGCCCCCTAAATATTCAACTGCTCCCCTTTCCTGCCCATCCCCAAGAGGTCTTGCTCTGTTCACAATCTTCCCTTAAGATATCAAAAATGGCCAGTTAGGCAAGTCCCACGGGGAGAAGCTATCCACAACAGAACACTCGTGTCTCCCAGAGAGAAGCCAGTCCTCTGAGGTCCCAGGCCAGCACATCAGGGCTCAGGATTCCATCAGTGACTCACAGCAGAGAGAATATCTGGGACCCACTGTGGCGAGAAAGTGAAGCCACCTCCTGTGACACCAGTATCCCACGCAGGAGCGTCACTTTGAGCCCTGGCTACTCCACGTCTGATCCAACTCCCTGCTGAAGCTCCTGGAAGTGCCATGGAAGATGGCTCAAGTGCTTAGGCCCCTGCCACCCACCCCAGATGAAGCTCCTGGCTCCTGCCTTCGACCCGGCCCAGCACTGGCAGTTGCAGCCATTTGGGGAGTGAACCTGTGGATGGAAGATCTCTCTGTGTCTCCTGCTCTCTATCAAGGAAGGCAGAGAGGGAGGGGGAAAATCCTTTGTCACCAGGAGGCTCTGATTACTCTGAACCTCAGTTTCCCCAGTGTGAGCTGGGGAAACCTGCCTGGTGCCCTCACAAAGCCGTAAGGAGCCTGAGGGTGATGATGGACGGGATGGAGCTGGGCCAAGCAGGAGAGGCGCTCTTACTGCTGAGCAGAGCGTTCACTGCTATTTCGCTGCCAGAGGCTAGGAAAGGAGCAATTCTCCCCTTCCCAGGAGCGGGGAGCAGCCTGCGGGGCACAGAGAGCGGGGCCGGGGCAGGACCGCGGTGTGGACCGGGCTGTGAGCCGGGCGGGAGACGGCTGGCCCAGCCAGGACTTCCACGGAGGCTTTGCAGAAAGGCACGTCAGCCCACCGGCCAGCCGCAGAGAACCTGCCCCGGTGTGTTTCAGGGGAGACCCCAAAGAGGCTACAAAAACAGTCGCTGGTTGAAAATAAAGAGCCAAATCGGGACTGGGGACAGACTTCCAGCTTCTCAAAACCTTTTCTTCCCTGAGCCTCAACTCAGCGGCATGGATTTTGGAGTCGGCGTTCCGTGTGGCCGTGTGACTTGGACTTGCCACTTCACTTCTCCAAGCCCCAGTTTCCTAACTTGTGAAACAGATTCTGCAAACGTCTTAAGTGAGAACCATGGTGTAAGCAACTCTGCCCCACTCTGGTGCCCCTCCCCCCTCCTGGGACCTCCTGAAACAGAGGGACTCATCCATCCTCAGCACCTTTCCAACAGAGAGAGCCCAGGCCTAGGCCAGCAAGCTCACTGGGCCAAGGACCGCAGGCTCTCAGAGTGGATGTCCTGGACTTGTGGGGACACACTGACGCACGGTCTCCCCATCTGTTCCCCAGGCCCTGCCACCACCCCCTCCCCAGCCCCAGCGGTCCCCTTTCACCTACACCGCAGGGTGGCCCACGGCATTCCAGCCCTGCGGGCCTCAGCTAAAGAGACAGCCCTGATTCCTCCTCTGCCCACAGCCAGGTAAAGAGAGCCCCCCTCCCACCGAGCCTTGAACGGATCAGATTCTGAGGACAGTGTCGCCTTTTTAAACCTCTCTGTAGTGAGCTTTTTCCTCCTGAGCAGTTCTAATAAAATCCCTAACCCGCTGCTCCTCCTCCGCGATCAGCTGCCCTCAGGCCGCACCAGTCTGTTTGTGTTATAAATAAAAGCTGAAATATGCAGCTTGCTCGTGCACGCAGGCTCCTTGGGGGCCACCGCCTGCCGCCCTCGTGCGGGGAGGAAGGCCCCAGCGAGGCCTTGCCTGAAGCCAGCTCCTCTGGACGCGGACAAACCACTACAAGGCCCCGCGCCGCATCCCCCGCATCCCGGTTTAATTACGTGGGCGCAGAGCACGCTCCGCGGCCCCCCAGGACTCCCTGTTCCCTGATTATTACCGCCGCAGGCCCCCGGGCGCGGGGCTGCCCAGCCCTCATTTCAATATTTACCACTTAGATCACTTAAGGGCTGTCAGCTTTAATAACATTTTATCAATTGGATACTTATATTATTCACGGCTTCATAAAAATAACAAGGCCTGCCTTGGCATTTCAATCATACCCAGGCTAATTTCTGCGAGTGCTAAGGGATTTCGTTGTTATTAACGTTTAGCTCCGCCGTGACGGCTTCTCTTCCCCGCGCACTGGTGCGGGAGGTGGCTGCTGGAGCAGGCTGCAGGCTGTCAGCCCCTGGGCTTGTGGTCAGGGAGGGCTCAGGGTTGGGGGTTGACCTGCACCAAGCCAGCATGGGACCCCTGCCCCGAGCAGGTGCAAGACTCCCTCACTGCATGTGGGTGGCTCAGAAAACTCCTGCCTCCCCGTCCTGACAGCCTGGCCCTGGCTCCTCTGTCCTACCCAGGCCCCAGGGGCAGCCACAGTGAACTATCCTCAGGGCTCCAAGCCTCAGCCCCATGTCCACCTGCAGAGCCCCTGCTCAGCCTTCCAGACTCGGCCGCAATGGCACCTCCACCAGGAAGCCCTCCCCTGCCTCCCAACAGCCTGTGGCACCCTCAGAGCTCAGTCTGGGAATGGCTCCCTCCTGGTCCTTCTGCCTCACACGGGAGTCTAACGTCCTCTTCTCCCTGGGGCACTAGAGTTCTGGCCTTCCTGGAGGCCACTGCCACTCTCCCTTCCCTTCTGCCCTCCCTCACAGGGCCTGACTTTCCTTCTTTTTTTTTTTTTTTTTTTGACAGGCAGAGTGGACAGTGAGAGAGAGAGAGACAGAGAGAAAGGTCTTCCTTTGCCGTTGGTTCACCCTCCAATGGCTGCCGTGGCCGGCATGCTGCGGCCGGTGCACCACGCAGATCCGATGGCAGGAGCCAGGTACTTATCCTGGTCTCCCATGGGGTGCAGGGCCCAAGCACTTGAGCCATCCTCCACTGCACTCCCTGTTTGCCACAGCAGAGAGCTGGCCTGGAAGAGGGGCAACCAGGACAGAATCCGGCACCCTGACCGGGACTAGAACCCGGTGTGCCGGTGCCGCAAGGTGGAGGATTAGCTTAGTGAGCCGGAGCGCTGGCCTTAGGGCCTGACTTTCCCCAGGGCCTCCCTTTCAGAGTAAAAAGCAGCGAACTGCTCCGGGTCTCAGAGGGCTCAGGCCACCCTGGCTACGGTCCCCAGAGATGCGGTCCTTTCAAGGGAAACACCGCCAGCCAGTGGCAGCCCCCTTCCCCCGCTGGGAGCCCTGGGCGCCCATCATGAACTCTGTCTTGTCTGCTTCCCACCCCCCAAGCCCACCCCTCCAGCCCATCCTCCTCCCCAAGGCCATGGTCTGCAAGTCACAGCTGCAAAACCTTCCCTGGGCTTTTACTGCTCTTAGTCCGCACCCCCGGCTCTGTGCTCTGTGCCGCCCTTCGGCCTCACCCACAGCCCTTGCCCGGCTTCCGGGGCTCGGGCCATCGGGGCTGTCGGATCCTCAATCTCACTGAGACTTCCTGGTGCCTGCAAGAGGCCTCTGGCTTCTCCTGGTAGAAGCTGGTCCTCTCTGCTCTCTCCCCGGGACTCATCACAACTTGGAATTGTTTAACTTCGCTTTTGGTTTGCTTCACGAGCCTGGAGACTGTCACGGAGGCGTAGCAGTGGCTCAATGAAAACCACTCATTCCTCCCTTTCTTGTTTTTCCTTAGAGAACCCTCCCGCACCCCAGGCAGCCACCTCCCTCTTATCTCCTCTTGAGTCTACAAAGGGAATCTGACTCACCCGGGCCTTTCAGGTTGCTGGAAACCCAGACCAGTGTCCACAGTCCATCGCTGGTGTAGCACAGTGGTTAGGGCCACACAAGTGCCCACCGCGGGCAGACCGCATCGCACAGCGGGTAGGGCCCAGGCGCTGGGGGAAACTGCTCACTTGTCAGCTGTGTATCCCCAGCTTTCTGCACCGCGGTCTGTTCATTGTAACGTGGCCCTGGTACCACGCCCGCCTAGGGTCTCTGTGGGGAGGACGTGAGTTCCTGTCTGCGGGCGTCTGCGCCCCGTACGTAAGTGACGACTGTCGTGACTGCACGTCGAGAACGGCCTCCTTTACGTCCCACAGACTCGTGGCCCACCCCCAGCCCGTGGCTGCTCCTGGGGGCCGGGGCGGGGGGCACGGCCAGGCGCCCAGGCGGTGCGGTGCGCTGCGGATGGCCTCGGCTGGGGCTGGGCGGGAGCCGGCCGAGTCCCTGCCGCCCGCGCCCCGGCTCTTGGCGGGCACACACGTTCTTGCAGGAAGATGCTCTTTCCCACCCTGCAAAGGCAGACTCCCTGGGTCTCCCTGGGAAAGCAGTTGTTTCTCTCCACTGCTCTCAGGACACGGTTGCGCCACTGGAGAGAAGGGAGGCTTGCGTGGGGCCGGCCCCGCTGCCGGCTGGAGTCCTCGGGGGCAGGGGTGGGTCTTCCTGAGCTGCCAGGCTCCATTTGTGCCCCAGAAGCGGTACTGCCTCTGTCAGCCAATTTGTCTTTGGCTCGAAGCTTCTGCTTGGATGACAGGGCCGTCAAATGCCTCCCAGGTGATCGCGCTCCCGGCTGCCTGGACGGTGCGTGGGCGTGGGCCGCGGTGGGGCTGAGTGAAGCAAGGCCTGTCCCTTTGGGGCCCCTGGGTCGCCTGTGCCCTGTCCTCTCCCGTGTTCTAAACTGCAGGGGAAACGGCCCTGCCAGAGCCTCCCGCCCACAGACAGTGGCTTTTGTTACACGCGGAGGTGTTGATCCGTCTCTAATCAACAGCTTAATTAGGTCTGCAGAGATGAAAGAGGCATTTTCACTTGGGGAGCTAATATTTATAGAGAGCCCTCTCCCCAGCCCCTGCACTGGAGGTGTTAACAACTTGAGGGCTAAATCAAATAAAAATTATAAAACTCATTTCTTCACTCTACAAAACTCACTCACTGGCAAACTCCGAACTCTCCAGGCTGTGCGCTGCCCCCTACAGCAGCTTCCTTCAGGGCCGAGCAGGCCAGAGCAGCCCCTGGCTCGCGGCAGACACACATGGCAAGGATTTGCCGAACCTTGAAAGCGAAGAGTGTCTGATGGTGTTCTTCTCCAGCAGGAATCACCATGGTGTTGTGGTTAAGAGCTGGGCTTGGGAATCGGACCTGGAACTTAATCCTGGTAGCCTTACCACCTAGTCCTAGGACCTTAAGCAAGTCTGTTTAACGTCGTCACGCCTCAGTTTCCGTTGCTGTATAATGGGACGCTGTTATATTGTTATATTATAGCGCTGTTACCCTTCGAGCCTGTAGCACAGTCTTCGCTATGCAGACGCGCATTTAGCATTTGGCTACAAAGAGCGCAGGTGACAGGTAAACCTCAGGGCCTCTACTGCTACAGGAAAGTCTTCTGGGCAGTTTTCAAGCTATCTCGTTTCATAGATGGCTAAGAATGTATTAGGCCCTCTCATGAGGGAAGTGAAAAATCAAAACCACAACAAGACACCACTGCAAACTCCCTAAGCCCGCTATAATGAAGAAAACAGGAAAATAACGTTGGCGAGGACACGGAGAAACTGGAAACTTCCTGCCCCGCTGCTGCGTCTTCAGTGGTCAGCCCTCGTGGACAAGTCTGGCAGTTCCTCGAAATGTTAACGTCGCATTTATACCATATCACCCACAGCTCCGCTCCTAGGCTTATGTGTTAGGCTGTTAAGCAAAGATACCTCAGACTAGGTAATTTATAAACAATTGAAACTGTTCACAGTTCTAGAAGTTCAAGGTCAAGGCTGCAGCAGATTCCACGTCCAGAGCAGACCCGTTTCTCATCGGCAGCACCTTCCATGTGTCCTCACAGGGCAGGAGGAGCAGAGGCTCCCGCAGGCCTCTGTTATAAAGACGCAAATACCAGTGAAGCAGGCAAAACCCTTAGGACCCAACCACCTGCTGCAGGCCCCGCCTCCTCATTCCACCACTGTGGGGATCCGGTTTCAGCATGAACTTTGGAGAAACACAAATCTTCAGACGGAGCAGTTGATGCCCAAAAGAACTGCAGAGACTCCAGCAGACGCTTGTGTACCAAGGTTCTTAGCATTATTCACAACAGTCAAAAGGTGAAAACACAAATGACTGTCAACCGATGACTTAAAAGAAAAACTGTAGTATAACCATAGAGCAAAAAGTATTCAGCCAGAAAAAGGAATGAGATTCTAAAACATGCTCCAGCGTGTATCAGAACTTAAAAACATGAAGAAACTAAACACAAAAGGCCACATGATTCCATTTATCTGAAATGTCTAGAACAGACAGATCCAGAGACAGAAAGCAAGTAGCAATTACTATGGCTGCTCACTTCCTCCACGCCTGGGGACACAGGAAGTCGCTGCTAATGAGTATGGACTTTCTTTTGGGGGTGATGGAAAGGTTCTGAAATTAGTGATGATGGCTGCACACCAGAGTGAATATATTAAAAAACCTACTTTAAAGCATGAGGTTTACTTTATGTGAATTATCTCTCATTTTTTTAAAAAAAAAGCATTAGGCTCCCAAGGGTACATACACAGCACTCACTGGAGGCCTCCTTCAGCACCTTGCTGCCCGGGACCAGAACCCACAACCGTTTCCGGAGAAAAGCCTGTACAGCATAAAACACTCTCTACCACGTTGCACCTTGAAGATCCCCTTGCACTTTGATCCTTAGGCTAACCTTGAAGGCAGGTGTTATCGCTGTTCTAACCCACATGGAAACTGAAATTCAGAAACATGAGGCCAAACATCAGTGAGCAAACCAGTGCGAGAGCTGGGGCCGCAGGCCTCGAACTCCGGCAGCCTCTACTCCCCGCATTGATGAAACCACAACCTAACCAGCAGTGCTTCCAAAGCATCACAGCTTGAAGCCACCTCCCACCAGAGTCCTGGCGTGACTCTGACAGCAGCCCTTAGCCTGCCTGCACGTGCGCCAGTCCTGGTTCTGTGCGCGCCGAGCCTCCAGAGAGCACATCGGCAATGGGTCCCACAACCCCCTTTCACCCAGACAAGGAGCTTACCTGCAGCACGAGTGATTATCCTGCTGTCAGGTACTCCCCAACCGTTCTGCGGATTTTGACATTGACCGAGCACCTCAAACAACCAAGGGGAAGTCGCTGTTTTTACGGTTCCCGTCTCCTTCCTGACCCCACAGAAGTCTGCTTGAACGGAGGCTTCCCGTGAGGTCTGGAGGCTTTCAGGTGCAAAGATGAGTGAGGTGTAGGGAGCAGCCAACCAACTGGGTCAAGCAGCAAATGAAGAGAAGCTGAGAAGGAAGAAGAGACTTCCTGTTCTGCAGACTGGTGGGAGGAGTGAGGGAAACGGAGCACGGAGGAAAGCAAGGGAGAGAGGAGCGAATGAGCAGCGTGGAGGGAACCACAGGAGCCCAGCCGGCCTGCGGCAAGTAGCGCAGAGATGAGGCGGCGCGAGCAGGCAGGAATCAGATGTAAAGGGGCTAACAAGGAAGCTGGAGGCCCTGAGGACTTTCTGAGGAGGAGCTGACCCCCACCCCCAAGGTGTGCGTTGTCCATGTGGACAAACCAGTAAAACAAAGAACTCCTGCTCATGGGTCTCCGATGTAGTTACCAGGGGCAACCGAGAAAGGTTTTAGTAACCAACCAACTTGGCAGCTGCCTCATGAGGAACAGAACCAAAGGTGTTTACACACAAATCGTCTGTGAGATGTTGGGGAAAGGTGCTAAAGTCCCAATGCTCTCGGTCCCTCCCTGCTACCTCATTGGAAGCAGCCTTGTCACTTTCGTATGTAGTCACGTCCACCCATTTCTCCTTAGGGCTGAGAATGCTGTTAGAGTCACTGATGCTGCCTGGTGAAATCCAAGTACCGAAGCAACCTCCTTGCCAAACTGTTGTGCAGCCTCTGCCTAAACACCCACAGTGACAACACTGTCATTGTCTACTGGGGAGAGCCTCTGTCTTTAGAAATATCTAGTGCTGGGGCCAGTGCTGTGGCATAGTGGGTAAAGCCGCTGCCTGCAGTGCTGGCATTCCATTTGGGCGCTGGTTTGAGTCCTGGCTGCTCCACTTCTGATCCAGCTCTCTGCTGTGGCCTGGGATAGCAGTAGAAGATGGCCCAAGTGCTTGGGCCCCTGCACCCATGTGGGAGACCCAGAAGAAGCTTCTGGCTCCTGGATTCAGATTGGCCCAGCTCTGGCCATTTGCGGCTTGAACCAGTGGATGGAAGACCTCTCTCTCTCTCCCTCTTCCTCTGCCTTGCCTCTCTATAACTCTGCCTTTCAAATAAATAAATAAATCTTTTTAAAAAATGGCTAGTGCTTTAGAAATGATTTCCTTGGGTAAAGTGAACATCTTGTGTTGGGGTGGCTGAGTCCAGATTCTTGGCCCTGACACAACAAAGAGGACAACGTGGAGGTAAAGGGCAGCAGAGAAGGAAGATCTATTTGCGTACAAAACACAAGCAGGCACTCACGGAGTAGGGGCACGCTCAAGACAGAGCTGCACTCAGCCAGGCTCGGGTCTACACCTTTATATGATCTGGGGACACGGGGGTGGGGAGTGGGATGGGGGTTAATTGACATTAATATGGGGAAGAGTTTGGGGGTGGGGATTCACTACCACCTGTGTCCCTGCCATTTTTGGGAAATCTTAGAAGTGTCATAGTGTCAGGTTCACAGTGGAAATGGGGGTGTCAGGCTTTGTAATTTTATTATAATGACATTATAATGAATTAAAAGTCCTGTCAAGGATGCAGCCCACAGGCGCACTGGATATTTTTGGTCGGCATCAGTTCTAAGAGGTGGTTTTGCAGAAGATGCAGTTTTCCAGTTCTTGGAGAGAGGGGAAAGGTTGAGTGACGCAGGCAGGGCCACAGCACAGGCAGGAAGGGGCTGGCAAGCTCAGCTGCTCCCTGCCAGCTACCCCTCTGCTTACGTCAACCCGGTTTCCTGTGACCTCCACTCATTGGCCTTTTCCCACCTCTTAGGGCTGTTCCAAAATACATTTGCCTGGGTCAGGGGCTTGGCAGAGTGGTTAAGATGCTACCCGGGATGCCAGCCTTCCATTTTGAAGTGCCTGGGTTCAAGTCCAGGCTCTGCTTCCAGTTCTAGTTTCCTGCTAATGCTTACTCTTGGAGGCAGCAGGTGACAGTTCAAGTCCTGATGCCTGCTACCCATGTGGGAAACCCAGACTGAGTTCCTGGCTCCTGGCCTTGGCCTGGCCCAGCCGCAGCTATTACAAGCATTTGAGGAGTAAACCAACAGATGGAAGATTCTCTGTCTCTCTGCCTTTCAAGTATAAATACATAAATATAGTTTAATTTTAGAAAGACATTGGCTTATTCCTCTATATGATGGTTCTTCAATATTTTCCGGCTTCTGTTGTATTCTCGACACATCCTCAGTGAGTCTTGCCTTCTAGTTCGTGTGTGTGTGTGTGTGTGTGTGTACTGCTTTGAAGCTTTAAGTGGTCCTAGCCATTTTTCTGTTTTCCTTCGATTTATTTTTTATAGAAGGAACATTTCATATTCTGCATTTCCTCTGTGATATTGCTTTTTATTTTTTAAAAGATTTATTTATTTTTTACTTGAAAGTCAGAGTTACACAGAGAGAGGAGCGGCAGAGAGAGAGAGAGATCCTCCATCTGATGGTTCACTCCCCAGTTGGCCACAACGGCCGGAACTGCACTGATCCCAAGCCAGGAGCCAGGAGCTTCCTCCGGGTCTCCCACGGGGGTGCAGGGGCCCAAGGACGTGGGCCATCCTCCACTGCTATCCCAGGCCACAGCAGAGAGCTGGATCGAAAGTGGAGCAGCCAGGACTTGAACCTGCGCCCATATGGGATGCCGGCACTTCAGGCCAGGGCGTTAACCCACTGTGCCACAGCCCCTCTCTGAGATATTTCTGAACTTCCCCTCGATGGGGCAACATCGCATAGGAAAGTTTAGTAAAGGCGTGGTCTTATCGCCCCCTCTCCTCCCACAGTCACTCACAGATGACAGTAGGGGTAGAGACCTGGAACTGGAAGCACCAACCAGTTCCAGGAGGAAGTCCAGTGTAAAAGCAGAGTGTGACGTGTAATGGACATGGGAACAAACATCAGTAATCTAACTCTCCCCAAAGGTTAAGAGACAAGATATTTAGGAGCAAGTGATACCCCAAGAACTCAGCAGACAATGGCCAGGGAAGTTTCTCAGCAAGTGGTCAAGCCTCAGGTCCAGGCTTCTCATCTTAAAGAGATTAGGATTCTGTGAAGGGCACAGGAACCAAGAACCAAGCCCAAGTCCTGGCTGTGGGCGAAGGACCCGCTCCAGGCTAGGTGGGGTATTGACCCCGTCTGGTTCTGAGTCCTGGGGCATCATTTTGAACAAGATTCTGGTTCCCACCTGCTCCCAAAGCCTCATCTCGGGCCCTCAGGCTGCAGGTAGGCTGGGCGCCTCCACACTCTCTGCCTCCTCTCCACTCTCTTCCTGGCTTCCGCTTTTCCTCCCTCCCTCCCTCCCTCTCTCCCCACCCCAACAATCCGGAATGAAAAGGCC